AATTTAACAACTTCTTGGTAGTTTTGATCATTTCATCGTTACTACTTATAATGAGCATATTATCAACATATAGACACAAAATGACTATCTTTGACATAAACACACATGTCACATTCGTTGATTCTAAACCCACTTGACAACATTACGTTGAACTGACTAATTTAAATGATCAATTACACGGTTCATTTGCGAGGATCTCAGTTAAAATCATGGCAAAAGTCTCTATTTCCCAAGAGTTCGCCTAAACCCTATAAAACTCAGGGTCAACTATGTTTAAAATTAGATAGAAAATGACACAAATAAGAGTCACGTAATATAAAAATATTTTATTTTATATATATCTATATATATTATACAATAAAAGCCTAAAAGGATAAAAATGTTCATAAAAATATATATAGAAATTAGGATTTGATAGATCAAATTTTCAAAACAATCCACTTGGAGACTTGGGATATCGGCAGGAAATGCAAAGATTTGCATTCATTGTATGGACAATACCGTAGATCATGTTTTCTTCATTTATGTGAAGATTTGCTTTTGTTATATGGACATCTCAAGTTTTTTTCATTTATTGTTCCATTCATGAAAACGCCAGATGTTATCATAATAGCTGCACGAATCAAAGCGGGGGTAGTTAAAGTAGATCCGGTAATTGGATTTCAACTAGAAGAAATACTTGCAATAGAGAAGATGGCAGCCTCACTACTTCCATTAATCAAGTAGTCATTCCCTACTTTAGAGAATCAAAGTGGAATCCATACTTGTTTTATAGAATTTATTGGAATACCATAAAATCATTTGAACTAATTAAAATATAAGTATGTGAAAGGGGATTTATCACTAAATTCCCCATATATTTTTGTTAGGTTATATATTAGTTAATGTGACATTTTCAGTCTAATTTTAAATAAAAGTTAACTTTAAAAGTAAATTGACAAAAAATTAAACATGAAGGACTAAAGTAAGAGAACAACAAATTAAGGGTCAAAGTGTAATTTACTCTTAATATTTTTATTTATTTTTTTTATTATTTTTTTTTGTGTGTATATCTCAAGCAGATAATGCTTAAAAATAAATTAGATTTTTTTGATAACTTGGCATCCAACCCATTGAACTGACTAATCTAAATGATCAATTACACCGTTCATTTGTGAAGATCTCAGTTAAAATCATGGCAAAAGTTTCTATTTCCCAAGAGTTCGCCTAAACCCTATAAAACTCAAGGTCAACTATGTCTAAAATTAGATAGAAAATGACACAAATAAGAGTCATGTAATATAAAAATATTTTATTATATATATATATATTATACAATAAAAGCCTAAAAGGATAAAAATGTTCATAAAAATATATATAGAAATTAGGATTTGATAGATCAAATTTTCAAAACAATCCACTTGGAGCCTTGGGATATTAGCAAGAAATACAAAGATTTGCATTCATTGTATGGACAATACTGTAGATCATGTTTTCTTCATTTATGCGAAGATTTGCCTTTATTATATGGACATCTCAAGTTTTTTTCATTTATTGTTCCATTCATGAAAACGCCAGATGTTATCATAATAGCTGCACGAATCAAAGCGGGTGTAGTTAAGTAAATCCGCTAATTGGAGTTCAACTAGCAGAAAAACTTGCAATAAAGAAGATGGCAGCCGTACTACTTGCATTAATCAATTAGTCCTTCCCTACTTTAGAGAATCAAAGTGGAATCCTGTAATACCCGCCTCTTACATAGCTGTTAATTTTATGATTAATCTTAATTATGTATTTATCTGTGTATTATATGCTTATTTATGTGTTATGTGCATCATGTTTGTTGACAAATATGTTCATTTATAAAAAAGACCTATCTGATTCGTTAAATCGTAGGGTTATAAATTAACTAGTGGACTAGGTCGGTAGAGTTGATTCACCTTAAGTAGGTCAAGTAGTAATTTAATTAATTAGTGAGGTAATTCAAGTAATGAGGCTCTCATTTAATTAATCCAAGTTAAGTAACTTAGATATAGATATGTATCTATATATTCATATTGAACTCAAAGAGAGTTAAAGAGTGTTCTAGAGTTTGAGTGAGTGAATAAGAAGAGAAGAGAGGAAGGTAAAGGAAAAGAGAAGAATTTGAAGCAACTTCATCAAATTAACTCATTAAGATAAGAGTTCTTCCTAATTTCTTACATGAGAATGAATTTTAATCTTGAACTCATGGGATTGAGGGAGAGAGTAAGGAGTTGGGTAGTATAAGTTGTGTTATCACCCTAACAGGAGGAATTCTTCGATATCCTTGCCTGAATGGCATTACTCAAGCTCATTTATTTGGTCTTGCATGAGTTTAAGATAGATTTCCATGGTTTTGTTTTCTATTTAACCTTGAAGTTGTTTATGAGATTGTGGAACTTGAGTTTGAATTTAAAGTTCTATTCTTGGTTTGAACTTGGTAATTGTTTATACACCGTGTTTGTTAACTTTTGGTCTTTGATTTGATCGAATTTGGGTTTAATTTTTGGTAGTTTAAAGCTCAAAAAATAGAGCATAAATCCGGTTATGGAACACCTAGAACTGCACGTGCGACTGGAGAGCCCACACGTGCGGGAAGCATTGGCGCACGTGCAGCGGGTAGGCTTGCACGTGCAGATAACAAGAGAGGTGCTGGGAGCATTCTGCATAAAAAACACATGCGGTGCACGTGCGGCCAAGGAGCTTCGCACATGCGACTGTTTGGCAGCCTCGGTTTCACTTTTCTGCTTTGTTTACCCCACTCCTGGGCTTCTGTTAGCGGGATTTGCATCCGTAATTGACGTTTATTTGCACTGCATAGGCATTAAATGAGAGTAAAAGACATTTAGACCAATCAATTCTTAAGTAATGAAACTAATTAGTTGGTTGTATGGTGAATTAAGTGTGCTATGCTTATATCTGTCTGTGTAGGTCAAACGCCACGTTCCAGTCACCTATATCACAGAGCCAATTGTGAGTAATACTGTTATAAAGATATGTTTAATTTAAAGTACCTTTTTCCTGCTTTAAAGTTATGCTTTGTTCTGATATGTTCTCTTATATTTATGAATGATGATTCTATTTCTGCTTACACTATTTATCGTGGCATCCTTGGCATATGTTCATGTGATTATAGAGATCTTTGTCAGTTTCAATTCATGGGACTTCTGTTCACTATAGTGATGGCCATCATATCTAATCTTCGGTCTTCATGACCGCCTGTTCGGTCTTCTAGATAGCCTGTACTTATTGCTTTTGGATGTATCACGTATTGCATTATACTTTCTATATGTAACAAGAACCTGCTCAGTATGTAATTTGCTTTACATTATGATCATCGTTCAGAACCCCTTTACTTAGCTGTTATTCACTAGGCTCAAACTCATATTTTGATATATTAAGTAGGTGATCCAGTTCAGGAAAGGACATAGTGGCATCGACCTTGCTTTGGTTTTACCAAGCTAACCTCTGTGCCTCACTGCAAGGTTCCCATTTGTCAGAGTTTTGAGATGGCCGATGTTCACCCTTACGCGCATTGTTACTCTGTTGTGTTCAGTTTTATTTTGTTTTTACATGTGTTGAAATTGGGAATTCTTATGACTCGATGTAGATGTTAATCTATGTATATTAATTCTACACCCATTTTTCAAAATATCCACTTTTTAATATTATATGTCACATCACTCAATTCAAATTCTTTTTAAAACTCATAAGCAAACAAAATTTCCATACTCAAATCATAATTTCAAAACTTACAAACACAAAATACAACTCTATTCTCAAATCATAATTTTAAAGCTCTACCAAACGCAACCTTACCTTTTAAAATTGATTTCAAAATTAAACCACACGAAATTTTTATATACATATTTAGAAGCATGACACACCAAATTGGTAGAAAACCAAAAAGAATAATTCTAGGGATATTAAATGTATTATCAAAATTTTAATCATTCACATAGGTGTGGCTACTAAATATTTTTCATCAAAATTTCTACAAAATATTTACATGTAAGTAGTTTAGTAGAAAATTTGATAATATATTTGGAGTGAATTACACTAATAGTCCCTATAATTTGGGCCTTGTGTCACTTTGGTCCCTGACTTTTCAATTGAGACACATTTGACCATGAATTTTGAATCTTGTTCCAAATAAGGACAATTGAAAATATTATTAGATTTTTCAAGGGTAAAATCGTCAATTTGATAAAATATAAACTAATTTGCTTATTTCAAATAAGGATAATTAAAAATATCATTGTTCAATTTCAATGGCAAAGTCGTAATTTTAATAAAATATAAACTAATTTGACAAAAATAAATGTCAAAAAAATATTTTTTAATTTTTAATAATTATTTCTACCTACCAAAAATAAAATTATGTAAAATTGATAAATCTTTTAGGCATTTATTTATTTTTTTACCAAATTAATTTTTATTATGTGTTTGGATGATGATCATGTAAAATTAATTTTAAAAAATTAATCATGTAATTTTTATTAATTTTTATCAATTTTACATAATTTTATCATTGGTGGATAAAAATAATTTTTAAAAAATTAAAAATATTTTTTTAATATTTATTTTTGTCAAATTAGTTTATATTTTATTAAATTGACGATTTTGCCCTGAAAATTAAACAATGGTAAATTCAATTGTCTTTATTTGGAACAAAATTCAGAATTCAGAGTCAAATGTGTCATAATTAAAAAGTCAAAGATCAAAGTGACACAAATCTCAAACTACAAGGACTATTTATGTAATTTGTCCATATATTTGGTTTCTTTAGCATTTTGTGAAAGCTTCACAATTCCAATTGGTGGAAAACCAATCTGGCGGATCGCCAAAGTGTCATAAATCTCAGGCGTGCGATAACAAGACCAAATTCCCATAAACTAACCTAGATCCCACGGATCGCCAGCGTGTAAAATCTCACAGCCGCACGATCTCATCAAAACATCGCGAGGCGGGGGCTATAAATACCTCAAATTCGCAACCTCCAAAAATTCAAATCCGAAACGAAAGGCCCACTCACCAAAATCCACACTCTCTCCCTCCAAAAACGCTGCGATTTTAAAGGCTTCTTCTGAGTTTGTAGAGAGAGAGATCTGAGAATGGATTCAACTGCGAAGACGGCGACGGCGAGGGGTGCAGGAGGAAGGAGAGGGGGAGAGAGGAAGAAGTCGGTGACGAAGTCGATCAAGGCTGGACTTCAGTTCCCCGTTGGCCGTATCGCTCGCTATCTCAAGAAGGGGCGTTATGCTCAGCGCACGGGCATCGGAGCTCCCATCTACCTCGCCGCCGTTCTTGAATACCTCGCCGCTGAGGTACATCCCAAACTACGCCTCTCTTTCTCTGTCGATCTATGTATTGTATGCATGGAATTGCCGTTTTTCATGTAGATGTATGTGAATTTGTTTTCACGGAAGCTAGGGCATTGTTTGATGTGATGTTTTTGATCGGAGACAGAAAGCCTAAACATTTTTCATTTTTTCAATTTTTTTTTTTAAGTCAAATTTTTATCAAATCAAGGAAGGAGGAAGTTTTTCACCAAATCAAGGATGAATCACTCATATTTTTACTCGACGTTTAGAAGAAAAAAAAAAGGGTTTTCTTAATAAGTTTGTAATTTTTGAAAAGATTGATGAAAAAAGTGAGTAATGATTGGGGAGTTTGATATGAGATTAAGTTTTTAATCAAAATTTTACTCTTAGATCGGAAAATCTCTCTATTTTCATGTTTTGTAAATTCGGAATCTCTCTCCTATGTATCACTGAATAAAAAATAAATAAAAATAAAATGGAAAATGTAGGTGTTGGAATTGGCTGGGAATGCAGCAAGGGACAACAAGAAGAACAGGATCAACCCTAGACACCTTTTGTTGGCGGTGAGGAATGATGAAGAATTGGGAAAATTGCTTCAGGGAGTGACCATTGCGCATGGTGGAGTACTACCCAATATTAATCCTGTCCTCTTGCCTAAGAAATCTGCTGCTGCTGATTCTGAAAAGGCCTCTAAGTCCCCCAAGTCCCCCAAGAAGGCATAAACTAGTGCTATGTGTTTTTTTAAAGTTAAATCTGTAATGACTAATGTGACTAGTGGGTTTTTGTTGTTTTGTTTTGGGTTTTAGGGGGTTCTAGTTATTAGAACTGTTGGTAGTTTGGCATAAATTGTAGTTTGGTAAATCTTTAATAGAAAGTTTCTTTTATTTCAAAAAATCTTCTTTTGAAATGTTTTTAATCAATGTTTGCAATTGCTTTCAGTGGTCACCCAGCAAAGTTCCAAAAAGAGTTCAGGACTTCGTGAATATTGGATGATCAATTGGATACTTTCTTCATAACAAAAGCATCTATGAATTTATTTGTAAAATTAGTGTTAAAAAAAGTTGTATGTATATATATGTTAATGACTTTAGAGTGATTAAAATTGATTTTTTGGGGTAAGAAGTTGGTATGCTTAAATGATTCATAGCCTTTATATATATATCTATAAATAAATAAATAGATGCTTTTATTTTTATTTTTAAAATCCATTTGATTGACTTTTATTTCTAAGAGATTACCAAAAAAGAGAATATTTTGACATTTGTTAATTTGTTGTCCTTCATTTGAATTTTTCTTCAACAAACTTGCAAGACTTTAAAGTTGAAATATTTTTATGAAGGTGGAAGTGATGATATTTGTTTGGGTGAAATATTTTTTTTTGTATTTTATGATTTTTTTAGATGGTATTTTTTGATGTTTAATGGAAAATATTTTTCATGATTAATAAAAAATAAGTTTATATGGATATAAAATGTTTTTTATTTTTAGAAGGTAAAAAGTATATTTCAAATTACAATTTTATTAATGTCATTATACTATTACTATCATTATTATTATTACAATGGTTATTGTCACCATTACTGTACTATTATGCCACCACTTCCACTTACATTTTTGTTTTATCACCACCACCACTACTAAACATGGAAAAATATTCTCTTAAAAACATTTTTTGTATTTTTTTTTATTAAAAATATTTTCTATCTAAATAACTGTAGCATTAGCTGAAATTAATTTAAAACTTATAAATGTTAGATTTGAATACATTTTAAAATTTGTACAATTATTTTAAGTTTAAATTTTAAAACAGGTGTTGGTGTGTTAACATTTCCCCATCAAATTCGCTTGCAAATGAGAGTGAGTCTCGTGCATGTCAGATGGGCCGGGCCTCAACAGGAGCCTTGGAGTAGACTTTGAATGGGCCAGTAGATTGATCCTCAAAACACAGTCTAAACCCAATTTCTCAGATTGGACTTGGGCCAATAGGCCAATTTTACACCCTTGTGCACTGCCCACATCAATTCTTAAATATATTAAGTAAAAAAAGATTTTTAATTCCAAATTTTGTGAGAGTTTCAATCTTTCAATCTAAATTTTTTGATTTTTTGATTTTAAAAAAAAATCTTAGCATTTATTAATTTCTCGCAATCTCCAAATCTTACCCACATAATAATACTTTAATGCATTAAGAACAAGTATAATTTTCTTTTTTTGAAATCTAACATATATGAATTCTTTGAAAAGTCTCAACACATATGATTATTATCTTTATAATAACATTTTAATGTATTAAGAACAAGTATAAAAAAAAATCTTATAAAATTCAACATATATGATTATTATCAAAATATTAAACTTTAATATAATATAATAAAAAAAGAAGATATTTAATTTTTAAAAAGTTCAACACATATGATTATTATCAAAATATTAAAGTTTAATATAATATAAAAAAAGAAAAAAAGAAGACATTAAAAAAAAAAAGCCATTTAAAAATCGCAATTTAGATATATAGATAGTTGTAAATATATTAAGAAAAATGGGGTTTCTAAACCCCAAGTGGAGTTCCAATTTTTCAATCTTAATTTTCTAAATTTTTTATTTAAAAAAAAAAACCTCAGTATTTATTGATTTGGTCAAAATCCCCAGATCAACATTTATTAACTTTTTTCAATCTACATGCCTGTATTTCTTGAATTGGTCAAAATCACTGATTAGCATTTAAAATCCCCTCATACAAATAACAACAATGATTTATCCCACTAAAAACATCACCACTAATAGCACTAATGCATTAAAAAAGTAAAAAAAAAAAAAAATACAACTCCAAAACCAAAACATCACATCATTAATGGCGGGACCCACTGCCACCTAATTTGTGGGAACACTAATTAGTGCTCCCAAGCATTTTTCTACAAATAATTATAGATACAGCCCGTGCATAGTTACTGTAGTAATCTTTTTAATTTCTCCTGCACACTATAGTTAGTGATAAAATTATTAAATTATTTTTATAAAAATTTTTAAAAAATATAATTTATATATTAAAAAAATAAATAAATATAAATATTTATAATTTAGATAATTGTAAACACAATCCGTGCATAGCACGGGTGATATGTTAGTACTATATATTAAGCAAAAGGGGGTTTTTAAATCCCAAGGCATGTGGGAGCTTCAATATCCCAATCTAAATTTTCTAAATTTTTTATTTAAAAAAAAACTCAGCATTTTCTAAATTTTTTATTTAAAAAAAAAACCTCAGTATTTATTGATTTGGTCAAAATCCCCAGATCAACATTTATTAATTTTTTTCAATCTACATGCCTGTATTTCTTGAATTGGTCAAAATCACTGATTAGCATTTAAAATCCCCTCATACAAATAACAACAATGATTTATCCCACTAAAAATATCACCACTAATAGCACTAATGCATTAAAAAAGTAAAAAAAAAAAAAAATACAACTCCAAAACCAAAACATCACATCATTAATGGCGGGACCCACTGCCACCTAATTTGTGGGAACACTAATTAGTGCTCCCAAGCATTTTTCTACAAATAATTATAGATACAGTCCGTGCATAGTTACTGTAGTAATCTTTTTAATTTCTCCTGCACACTATAGTTAGTGATAAAATTGTTAAATTATTTTTATAAAAATTTTTAAAAAATATAATTTATATATTAAAAAAATAAAATAAATATAAATATCTATAATTATCCCGTGCATAGCACGAGTGATATCGCAGCGCACGGGTGATAGACTAATTTAATAATAACCAAAATGAACTCCTGTAGTTTTGATCTTCACCTGCCTACCTTCCCTCTTTCTGTTCAATTTGACCGAAAATTTATTACATGCACCTATTTTGAGAGTAGGCATGAATGAACCCCCCAAAAAATTGAAGTCGAATTACTATGCAAAAAATATAGGGTAAATTACAATGGCGCTCGTGAGGTTTATATTTAGTACAGTCTCTTTCTCATTTTTTGAAAATTACATCTCCCTTCTTAAAATTTAAAGTTTCATTACAGATTCTTCCTTTTAGCAATTTAATTTTTTTAAATACCAATTTTACCCTCATTGGGTAAATTACATTGACACCCCTCACATTTTAAAAATTACAATCCCCTCCCCAAGGTTTAAAGTAGTATTACCAATTGCCCCCTCGGTTAATATTAGTTGGAAAAAAATTCATTGAAAAAAAAAAGTTAATTGAAAAATAAATTTTGTTTGTAAAATTTTTGTTTAAAAACAAACGTAAACTCATTTTTTGAATTTACTTTTTTTCCTCAAATTTACAAACTGAGACAACTATTTATAAACTAAAAAAATTATCAAACAAATTTTTATGTCAGTTTTTAAATTTTTGTAAATATAAATTGAAATCTGAAAATGAAAAGGTTACCAAACATGCATCAAATGGTAAAAATATCGTAAAATCAATAAATAATTAAATAAGTTATTAACGTAAAAAATGACTTATCAAAAGATTATTAGGTTATGTATAATTTGATTTTTAGATTTTTTTAAAAAAAATTAAAAATTAATTTGGTTAAGAAATAAAAAATAAAAAATAAAAAATAGTTATCATTTAAGGGTAAAAAATAATTATCATTTTAACTTTTGGGTAGGTAATATACGTATGGCTGTTTTAATTTAATTTGTAAAAAATTATTTCTATCCACTCGAAAGAAAGAAATTATATAAAAATGATAATTATTTTTTATTTTTTAACCAAATTAATTTTTAATTTTTTTAAAAAAGTTCTAAAAATCAAACCATACATAGCCGAAAAATCTTTTGATAAGTCATTTCTTACGTTGGTAACTTATTTAATTATTTGTTAATTTTACGACATTTTTACCATCTGAAACCTGTTTGGTAACCATTTCGTTTTTAGTTTTCAATTTATATTTACAAAAATTTTAAAAACCTGTCATAAAAACTTGTTTGATAATTTTTTTTTGATTTATAAATGGTTGTTTTAGTTTGTAAATTTGAGGAAAAAACGTAAATTCAAAAAATGAGCTTACGTTAGTTTTTAAACTGAAATTTTAAAATTTTACTAATAATTTTTTTTTTTAACTAATTTTTTTTTTCAAATAATTTTTTTTTCAATGAATTTTTTTTCAATGAATTTTTTTTTCCAACTAATACTAACTGAGAGGGCAATTGGATTGTAATTTCTAAAATGTGAGGGGTGTCAATGTAATTTACCTAGTGAAGGCAAAATTGGTATTTAAAAAAATTAAATTGCTGAGAGGGAGAATCTGTAATAAAACTTTAAATCTCAAGGAGGGAGACGTAATTTCCAAAAGGTGAGGAAGAAACTGTAATAAATATAAATTTCAGAAGGTGTCAGTGTAATTTATCCAAAAATATAATTATAACCTTGCCTTCATCTACTTCCCTAACCATATATTATATATATATACACATTTTTTGAACATAAAAAAAAGTTTTGTAAAATCATCGTAACATCTGTGAACCTTGATCCCGAAATAATTGATTGTTGGTTAAATTCAACCAAATCTAAAGGAAAAGACCCACCATCAGGACAAGAGAGGAATGCACTAACTTTCAATACAAGAGGTAGAGTCACGATCGGAATATAGTGCAGTCAGCTTCACCGTTTGAAAACAAGTCACTAATTGTGCCTTCCAAGAGTCAAGTCATGCTCAACTGTGTAAAAGGAAAGCACTTTTCCAACTCACCACCACCCTTGGTGGTCCCTAACCATAATTTGAAGTTAACAAAAAGAAGAGAAAGAAAATGCTAAAAGTAAGGCCGCAGACGAGCAGAGCTGAATTTTAGTATGTTTTGACTTGCTTATTAAGATTTTAACGAGTTCGAGTTCAAAAAAAATTTAATAAACCGAGCTCGAGCTGAGTTAGCTTAGGCTTGACTCAAGCTCGAACTTGTTCACGAGTTAAAAAATTTATAAATTTATACTTACGTATGAGACTAAAATTACAGTTAAAACTTTAATTAAGCAATTATATATACAATATATACAAACATTCTAAAAAAAAGTTAATATTTATCAAAATAATAATATTTACTACCACTATTACATAAATGTACTATCTATAGTTAACTATTATTTACATTTATATTTTTTAAATATATAAATAAGATATTTATCTTATTTTTTACATATTTTTACGTTATTTAATATATAAATAATAAATATAAAATGAGCCAACTAACGAATTGAGTTTTAGAATATTTGGACTTATTTATTAAAAATTTAACGAGCTTGAGCTCTTGAACGCAAAAAAAATTTAACGAACTGAGTTTGAACGAACTCTTACTGAGCTAAATTCGAGCACGTTCACATATGGCTCTATTCTTTTATAGCCCTAGCTAAAAGGAAAAAAAAGAAGAAGGTAGGGTACTAAGATAAGGGAGAGACTTCTCTCTAAGTAGATATCTCAACTAGAAGGTGTTGTTAGGATCCCGTGGGCTCACCACAGAACCCGTATTGATGATTTGAACCGTTGAACATGCAGAATTTATTGAGTACTTTATTCCTGTAAAAAAATCATATTGATCGAATATCAATAGTCATTTGATTAGATCACATTTGTACAAATAATTTATTTTAAAAATTATACTTACCATTGACACAAATGTGATCTGATTAAGTGTCTATTGATATTCAATCAACATAATTTTTTGCAAGAATAAAATACTCAAAGAACCCTATACATTGAATGATTCAAATTATTGATATGAGCTCCGTATTAGGCCCACGAAACCCCAATAGGACTCTCCAATCCGATTTAGAATAAAGAGAAGCTGTAGCCTTAAGATAATTTTACACTGTTAACATCGGACTTCACTTCCAAATCACATGAGGTGACGGATCACTTTCAAAGTGAAATACTCCACGTCAAATTACACGGGGTAAAAATGTATGAGAAATGTTTGAGAGCTTTAAGGAGAGAATTCTAGTAACTCTAATTTGTGTATGAGCCTCATTTGATGTAATATTTTGACCTTGTATATATATATATATATATATTTTTTATTTTCCACATCACTAGAGCTCAATTAGAGCTCTAGTTTTAGGGAGATGAATCGCCGCTGAATATATATTTTGCCCTAACGCGGTTAAAAATCTGATTTTGCAAGGGCAAGATGCAGGAGATAAAAAGCACAGGCATGAAACATATATATGCGAAGAATGAAGAACAAATAACTGTTATTATTTAGAGCATATTACCCGAGGTAGAGGTAGAAGTAGAGGTAGAGACAGGTACACTCATAACACACATATATATATACAACAGACCATAATTATTGTAAATTCTATATTTACAACTTATTGTTCCCCCCTAGTAAATATCTAAATAATATCATTGCACTAAAATCAACCGGCATAAATTAAGGCAAATGAAAAGAAAAAAAAGCTTCCACCTTGTCTTTAGAATGTTTCTTCCGGCTTCAAGAAATCATGATATTCCAGCTGAGTCATCTCTCCCCCAGCCACTGGATTGAACTGACAGCGGTAGAAGCTGCATTATAAAAATTAACTTCTGATAGTTAATTTGAGAGAAGGAGATGCCCTCATGAAGTAAACCTAAAAATTAAACCCATACTAAAGATAATACAAAACTTTGCATTTCAATCAAATAACCTCCCAATCTGACATTTATGAAAAATAATATAAATTATAAAAATAAACAAACAAATTATGTCCTACAATTACAAAGTTCAATTTATTCTCATCTATTTTCTCCCAAAGATTGGGCAGTAAGATTATTGTATCTATTGGCTAACAAATCCAAATTATTATGGGTTCACTGAGTCTTCTGTATACGACCATGGATAGACCATCGTTAATGAATTCAAAATATACTCTGCTTATAGCCCTAAACATGCACTAGAATGTTCTATTGGAAACTGTCAAGAACCCAATCAACCAAGGAGATTCACTTTAATCAAAAGTGTTTTTATAATTGAAGACCAAGATGCACCAAGACTCATTTATCAAAACAAAAAATTGAGTGCACAGCTAAAGAAAAAAACTATTTGGAATTATGACAAAATGAGGTGGCATGGCACTAAACATGATAAATCTGTAATGTCTGATGATGAGGATGCTCTGACTCGACTGGCTTTGATGGAACAGCACACAGCATAATATATATGCAGATGATGAGGAGTCGAAGCATCTTTGTGCTGTTTTTTTGTTTTCGTTTTTTTCTTTTTAAAAATGAAAAAAGATTCAAGTCGAATGTGACTAATGTGACTCCAATGCTATACACGGCTTGTAAAGAATTTGCCTTGACCCAAATGAAAAAACCTAAATGAAAGAATTTAGATTTCTCTGGGAATATTTTGCTAGGAATATTTAATTTAACATACACTGCAATCAGGAAGCTAAAAGAGCCTATGATGCCTCAATTCAGATAAGTTGCAAAATAGTCAGATTAAAATTGTGCTTTAGTTTGGTTACAAGAATTTTAACTTCTTACAAGAACCAAGAAATTGATAAAGTTGATTTTGGTTTTTTTATTTTTATTTATTTCTTCATATATTTATTTTTTGTACTTACCTCCCATCCATGCCAACAATCACCACTGTGTCCTTTTCGTGACCAAAAGCAACAACGTACTGAGAACCTTCCTGCAAGCGAAACTGAGCAACCGACCACTCTGAGCTGAAATATTTTGGCAGCACACCTGCAAAATAAGAGCCCCATAGAATTTTCAGTGCCAAAGAACTGTCCTAAATTTGTTAAAAACATCAAAGAGTGAGGAGTAATGCAAAGACATGCCACCTTTAATAAAGGACAGAGAAGAAACAGCGGACGGAGTAGACAGATTTGGATCAGGTCCGCTGCGTGTTCTTTCAATCCCCAATGATCCTGAATCAACCTTTAAGCTGAAGACATGGACAGTTCCCTTATCACTTGAAACAGCAAGCCATTGTGCAGTTGAAGAGAAAGCAAGACTGTAAATCTCAGCCCTATCTGCTCCTCTCCTTACCTAAATTAAATATTTATAAATAAATAAAAAAGGAAAAAAGAAAAAGCGATCAACTGAGACAAAATTCAGAATGATAAATGCAAAAGTTGGCATTAAAAATCGTTGCCAAAAACTTGTACATAGAAATGAGAACCATCTAATGATCTAGAGCATTCAAAAAAATCAATTGGTGTTAAATGATAAACAATGGTGTTAAGACACGTTAGGCAAATGCTTTTTTGAGTTGAGAATGATGTTATACAAGTACTTCTGTAATTTTATGGCTCTAAAACAGTAAATTGAATTCTAAGAACAGAATCAGGAAATCCAGAACTAACCAAACCAAACTAAGCCTTGTGTCCCAATCAAGTGGGGTCAGATGTATGAATCTTTTTTTTGCCATTCTACTCTATTAAAGAATATATGCTTAGTTAAATTAAAGAAGTCCAAGTGCACTGTTTTAGGGATGAGATGGGTGATGCCATATTCAATGGAAGAACTCCTTGTTTTTTGGAGTTCTTGCTGCTCCAAAAAGTCAGATACGAAAATGTTATGTTCTACAGAATGTGTGGAGGCAGCACAATAGATCTATCAAAGTTATGTTCTAATAGGTTTTTTTTTTTTTTTTTTTTTTTTTTCAACTTTTAAGTTTTTCATTTATTTTGGAAATCTGTGTGTTTGGTGCAGATTCTAATTACAGCTTGCGATACAGAAAAAAATAAGCTGAAAACAAATTGATTATTGAGAAGCATAAAGAGATGTGCTTTTAGCTTTTGCTTTCTAAATAATTACCAGCTTTTAGTTTGCTAGAAGCTGCAACAAACAGGCCCAACCACCCCGTGAAATGAATTGGGCCAATAAAATTACAATTAAAAACAACAATAGAGGCTATAGAGCCTGCTTAAATCAGGCCCTTCAAAAACACTCATAACTGAAATGTTGAGGAGCTGACATGTTAATCAGAAAGTGGGTCACCAAAACAATATAAAAAACAAATTCTCCGCTTTCATCTTCTCCCAACTCATTACCGGCTTAAGAGAGGTTGCTAGTATTGCCAACTTATTCCAACTAAAACACGTCACAAGTATGGTTTATTCTTCTTTTCCTACACCGTATTTGGACAGTGTCTAAGAAAAAGAAACAGTGTTGTGAGAATGTCCAACACACGTTAGCAAACATGGTGACTTATTGCATCTTAGTTTATCTATGTAGTCCTCAATTTGCTAGATAATTATATACTAAATTTTCCCAGGTGGAAAACATACTCAATGCAACAAAGAACTAGATAACACATGACTTTCTTCGAGCATGTGGTGTGCAAATAAAGTCCACTTGGGGGACTAGTCGTTGCTTCTTAGTTTATTTATGTTGTCCTCAATTTGCTTAATGTACTTAATGTTATGAAGAATTGGATCTCACTGTGAGAATATATTAGTGCATCTTTCATACATATTCTGAGATTGTGTAAATATTCTTTGTAATTAAGAGTTATTTGTATTTCCTATTTAGGATTTAGGGTTAGAGTCCCTATATAAAATGATGCACTCTCTGTATTTGATGGATATATTGAATATACAGTTCTTATTCAGAAAAGCTTACATCAAACATGTGCACAAATAAAGATCATTGATTTTTGGGCAAAATTCACTTTACCCCCGTCTTTTAAAAAAAGCAACATACCCCAGGCATGGTTTTGCACTAAGTGCACAAAAATCCCTGTTAAAATTATACTTTCTCATTGTAACATTTATCTTCCTCCCTCTCTTCTTCCCCTGTTAACGAAAAATACAACCACCACCACCATGATTATCATATTTGTACAAGGAAAAATTCCAACTCAAATTATAATTGATAGAGCAAGCATATCTCCAAACATGTTTAGTGCATCATCAAACAACAATGAAGCATCACAACACTATAATATTAACCAAAGTCATAAAACATGAATATGAAATGGAGGTTTGGGTTCATAAAATTACCTTAACAAGGCAATGATGGAATTGCATTTCTAGGTTCTTTAACCATGGTCTCCTTGATTACATTGTGGATTATATATTCAGCGTCCAAGCATATGTTTCTGAGAAAAATCCTAACTGAAGATTGGGGAGGAGCGATGTGGTGGAGTGGTAGATTGAGGAAGGGGGAGATTGGGGAGGAGCGATGTGGTGGAGTGGTAGATTGAGGAAGGGGGAAAGAAGTAGCGGGGGAAAGAAGTAGCAGGGGAGGTCTGGGAGGGGTAGGTGAGTTGGGGTTAAGGTTAAGAGTTTGAGGGTAGAAGGTGAAGGGAAGGACGATTTTGTCTTTACAAATTGAGATTTGACTTTTGAAACAACTTTTTTTTTCCTTTCCCACTCTCCAAAAATGCACATGTAACACAACTTCTGTCGATGTAGACAAAAAATTGTAACGATAACACTTCAATTCAAAACCACACGAGGTATATGTGGCTATTTTTAAAAGATGAGGTAGGTAAAGTGTTATCGGGCTACACCACAAGGGGTAAAGTATATTTTGCCATTGATTTTTGCGTGAGAGAAACTAAAAAGCTAGCTTTTTGACTAAAATATGATGTAAAAAAAAATTAGTATGTTTGGGATGACTTTTTGATTTTTTACAAAAAAAAATGTGCAAAAAGTAGAGAGAAAATGAAATCTTTGACTTTTTGATATAGGTTGTTGGCTTTTTTTTATTTTTTTAGAGACTTTTTGGCTTTTAAGTTAAAAAGTGATGTTGCCAAACGAGACCAGCCTACAAAAAAAGCTAGTGCTAAAAAAACTAGTTTGTTTTACACATTTCTAGCTTTTTAGACTTTTATAATGACTTTTTAGAATAGCTTAAATAGACTGTTTGGCAGGAATTTGCCTAATGAGCTAAGGTACTGGCTTTTAAGCCAGAAGGGGTAAAGTGGATTTTATCCTTGATTTTTGTGTGTAAGAGAGAAACTAAAAAGCTAGCTTATTGGCTAAAAATAAGCCTACAAAAAAGCTAACATTAAAAAAGCTGGTTTGTTTGACACATTTCTAACTTTTTTGACTTTTCTAATTGGTTTTTAGAGTAACTAAAGTACACTTTTTGGCAGAAAATGAGTTTGCCTAATGAGCTAAGGTATTATAGCAAACAGAGTTTCTTTTAGCAAATAAGTTGGCTTTTAAGCCATAGCTAAATGAAGCCACATTGGCTAAAAAATCCCATTTAGCTAAAAAGCCATTAGTCTTATTTGACAAACAATTTTCCTGCCAAAAAGCCCAAACTAGCCAGACTTGCTTATACTATAATGACAAAAAGATAGAAATGTATCAAACAAATTAATATTTTTAGCATTAACTTTTTTGTAGGCTTATTTTTAGTCAATAAGCTAGCTTTTTAGCTAACTCCCAATAGAAGCCTAAATAGAGAAGATTGTAATGGTAGTCGCATTGGGCCTCCAGCTCATAGAAGTTAAAAAAAAAGAGAATAAAAAGAGGAGAGCTCTTCCAAACATTCTTTCATCAGCCCTAAAGGCTCAAATTCTATAGTTACAGTTCCTAACAGTCCTAAAAGAATGAAATAGCTGCATCCCTTATCAAACGAAAATTAACATAGCCATAAATGTAAATCACATACACATCAATTAACACATCATGTCTTAGTGACTCCTACATCAACTTCTTCTCCTTCTTTTCTTTTTTCTGAGCCCAACTATTCATACTTTCCATGATTTACCATTATTTCTCTCTATTTGGATCATGAGGTAAGAAAAGAAATGCTTGTAATTGCTCACGTTTTGTTTGGATGCACAATGATTAAAAACAGATACATGTGTCTTTGTTTTTGTATTTAGAGTAGTTTAGGTGTCATAATTTTTTTGTAAAGAGTAATATTGGTTTCTCATCAAAGCTCCCCCACTTTTGGTGAGAAACAGAACTTAAGTTCTGAGGGATTTATCTTTCTTGTCATCTCTCCTCTCTTCCTTTCTCACCATTTCTCATCTCATTAATCATTCAAATAACTGATGAGAAATCTCATTATCTCCATTTCTTTTCATTTCTCACCAAACCCATTAATCCAAACGGAGTGATATGTTCTCCAGGGGTTCAATATTATTCCATTTTAGTTCATGAAACCTAATACTTGCTCAATTCATGCTAGGTTGTGACCATAAGAATTCATAATACATATGAGAGCATACATGTGCGCATACATATCTATGTGTGTACATATAATCAGCCTACCTCTTGAAGTAAAGAGCCATCCAAAGTATTGAAAATCCGAACCAAAGTCCCCTTACTACTCGCAGTAGCTAGCAACCGCCCATCGTGAGTAAGCGCAAAGCACGCAATTCTCGAATCATGAGCCATCACAAACTTAGTCCTCTTCGACGCGTAATGCTCAACCCTAACCTGCCCTTTCTGCAACCCCGGGCACACCAACACCATTGACGCCGACAAGTGCGAAACCTCACAAAGCCCCTTCGGATTGGCAATCGTCTCAATCTGATGCAGCAACTTCAAATCCGAGAAATTATACACAAAAATCTTCTGCAACAAAACCACCACAATCCTATCTCTCCTGAGCCGAACCGACTTAACCTCCGAACGAAACGACAGCTCTCCGATACACCTCCCCTGATGATCGTCCCAAATCATCACCTTATTCAAGGGGTACTGAGGCTCGGAACCACCGCCGACCAAGGCGAGAATATTGCACCGGAAAAGCATCTGAACGACGCCGATACCGCCGCCGTTTTCGAACTCCCGCCGGAAGATCTCGCGGAAGGGGTCGCAGTTGTAGATTCGGAATCCGCGGTCGGTTCCGGCGGCGAAGCAAGCGAAGTCTTGGTTGAATGAGAGGTGGATGAGAGATGGAGCTGGAGAGAGAGAATCGGAGAGATTGGGATTGTTAGGGTTAGGGTTCGGAGCTTCGGAGAAGGATGAGATGATTGAGGAGGCATCTTCCGAGAGATCGGACTGCGATTGTTGATGCTCGCCATCGCCGTCGAGGTCTCTGTAGAGAGAAGAAGGCATGTCCGTGAGAACGGAGACTGATTGGGGTTCGTCGTCGGGGTGGTGGAGGGTTTGGGAAGGAGGAGAGGAAGAGGGAGGAGGAGGAGAGCAGTCAGCCATGGGAGGTGAGGATAAGGAATTGGAGAAATTAGGGTTAGGGTTTGGGGAAGGCAAGGGCCAAGAAGAGGAAAGAGAGGGTGGTTGTTGTCATTGGAGAGAGGAGGGAACTTCCATATCCAATTTCGTCACCCACTGCTCGGCTGCTAGACTCCAGCTGATTTTTATTTTAGGATTAATTACAATTTTTTTTTTCTCAGTTTATTTTGACAGAAAAGAAAATCTTATTTTTTTAAAGAAAACATTATTCATTGTGTCCAATTTCAATTTTTTAAATTTAACTTTTTAAAATTTGAGTTTTTTTATTTTTTGTATTTTTTATTTTTAATGAATATTTTTAAAATTTTAATTTTTTTTTATTTGAATTTAATTTGTTAGAAATTAAATTTTTTATTTTTTATATATTTTTTTGTTTTTAGTAAATATTTTTAAAATTTTAAGTAATTTTTTTACTTTTTTGTTTTGATATCATATTTTTAAAATTTTAAGTAATTTTTAAAATATTTTAAAAAATCAATAAATACACAAGAATATGAAAAATATATTGAATTTTCTTTTTTTTTTTTTGTATTTTTGATATTTAGTAAATTATTTAAAGATTTTTTTAGTAAATATTATCATTTTTAAGTATATTTATATTAGGTATATCTAAAAATTTTAAAATTTTGCTTAAAATATTTAAAAAACTCGGTGAAAACAAAAACTAAAAATATTAATTTTCTAAAAAGTAAATTCACAAAATTTAAACCAAATCAGCTGATTAATGTTTGGTGACGGTGGTGTGCTGGTCGAGGCGGTGGCTGTAACAATACAATGATATTAGTAGGATTTTAATCTAAAAAATGTTATTTGCCTAAAAGTAAAAAACACTTTATATTCAAATATATTTGTTTTCTATTGATCATAGAAAATATTTTCAGTTGATTTTCATTTTCTGTTGTACCAAACACTAGAAAATACCCAAACAAATAGAGCATAAATCTTTTATTTTATTTTTATTTTTTAAAATTTAATTTCACTTTTAATTCTTTAAATTATTATTATTTTTTATTTGATTGTTACAATTTAATTTCTATACAACGGACGCAGTTTGCTTTATAATTCAAACCTCAATTTTTATATGGATTATCATGCAAAAATTAAAATTAATCGGATATTGATATCTATATGATTAGATAACAAAATCATGCATACAAAAAAAAAAAAAAAAGAGATAATTTTTTTTTTATTGTCAAAATCACGTTTGCTGTCTATTTTTTTGAATAATTTTGTAATTCGATCATGTGAATACTGATATCAACTCAACTTTATTTTTTACATAATTTATAAGATAAATGATTTAAACTAGGGATATTTTTTTTAAGGTCCCTAATATTATGATTTTATAGTATAAAGGACATCAATTATTTTCATGATGTCTAAGATCCCTCAACATCAATTCAGAGAAATTTCAGTCCCAGAGAAAATTCGATCCAGAGAAAATTCAACCATAGAAAATTCAATCCAGAGAAAATTCAACCAGAGAAAATTTAATCCAGAGAAATTCTCTGGTCCAAACCACAGAAAATTCAATTCAGAAAAATTCAATTCTGTCTAAAATTTACCTCTCATTCTAGCCAAAATGAGGTGCACAGTTCTAGAAACTAAAGAACGAGAAAATGAAAACCATGAGTTGCAGAGATAAATCTCTCAACAGCAACGGTATACAGACACAGCTTGTTGCCTTGAAGGTGGCGTGCACATAATCACCAGGATGAGTATGAGAACAATCAGCATAAGAGTTGACTTGATATCTGGAGCTTCGTCTTCACCTTCTGCCATGATCAACACTTCTTGCTCAAGCTATCTTCTTCTTTAGTTTGTTTCTCTGTAAACTGTCAGTTTGATACTTTTGCTTGTTATTGTACTCTGCCCAGAATAAAATGTGAAGTTGTGGTTAACAGCCAAGTTGACTTGTTAATTATTTAGTGCCTGAGTTGGGAGCGTACATTGAATTTGCATTTAGTTTCTTTGAATTTGCATTTAGTTTCTTTGAATATTTTACCTAAAATTCAGTTCAAATGAAAAATAATAATCGAAATAGACGTTTTGTGAGCTAAATTACTAGAGAAATTCTCAACCCAGAGAAAATTCTCAACCTAGAGAAAATTCAGTTCCATTGCCAAATACTCTTGGAAGCTTGAACCCAGAGAAATTTGAAAAATTATACTACTAAGAAGGTGGAGAATTTTTAAAAAAAGAAAAAGAAAAAAAACCTATTTTAACCTCCTTCACTTGTGCATGTGTTTGGTCTCCGAGAAACCGTGGGAAAATTACTGAAATTTTTTAGATTCAGTGCTGTATTTTGGTTGTAAGTGGTTGTACTGATGTTTCAAATTTTCAGATTCAAAGCATCAATCGGAGCTCTGTTTGACGGGGTCTGGTAACCCTTTCACATTGATTCCCTTTCCAATCTTCTTCTTGCCCAACAAAACCACCCACCTGAAATCGAGACAGAAACTTGATTTCTAGAGAAAGAGAGAGAGAAAGTGAGGGACAGAAGGGAGTAGAGAGAGAGAGAGAGAGAGAGAGAGAGATGTGGGTGTTCTATCTGATCTCGCTACCTCTAACATTGGGCATGGTGGTATTGACGCTGTGGTACTTCGCTGGACCACATGTGCCTCGCTATGTCCTCTTCACCGTCGGCTACACCTGGTTCTGCTCTATCTCTGTATGTATGTATGTATGTATGTATGTATGTATGTATGTATGTATGTACATGTCTGCGTGCGTGTGAGAGTAGACAAAAGGAAGGGGCTGAATTTCTCTGTGATAGATGAGAGGGACCTTAGACATCAAAAAATAATTTTGTGGATCTCTTCCATTATGAAAAGTAGGAGAGGAACCCTAGACCAATTTTCCCTTTAAACTATCAATATGAATCTAATATAAGCCCACATAAAGCAAACTACAAACAATATGCATTAGAAACTGACGATATAAAAGAGACCCATTAAATCAATATAATAATAAGTAGCTAACAATATAATACAATAACATGATCATTATAGCATTATTATCATCATAGTCTTCTCACACTCCTATCCCATATAAACCCGTTGACTTGAACATATTTGAACTTAGAAAGGGTATTTTAAACAATCATTCTACTTGCATATAAGCCAATTACAAAATCAAACACAATCATCTTAAATTTTGTAAACCTAAACTTTTTATTTTAAAAATCAAAATCATTATTAGACATATGATTCCTAACATTCGATATCATGTCATCTAGCAACAACCCTCCTATCAATCGGAAAATGTTTTAGAGCTCTAAAACAACTCTAATTTGTCTTTTTCCTTGCTCTTTTTTTTTTTTTTTTTTTTTTTTTTTTTTTTTTTTTTGTGCGCGCGGGCATTGCCAGGTCAGCAGAACTGCTTTTAGAGCAACTCCACTAGAGCTTTGTATCATATCCCCTACCAACCTATCTCCTAACTCTAACCCTCCAACTTTTGGCAGTGGTGTGTAGGCCATGGTCGCACTGGCCTATGGTAGTGTTGACTTTTTGGCTTTCGAAGGTTATTATTGTAATTGTGAGCGTGCCAGCAAGGATCAATCAGTCCTTACAGAAATTTAATTGCCAACCAATTATCAGACGATTGTGTTTTAGTTCTCTCAGCCTCAATGAAGAGGACTTTTACTAGTGGCTTGATTTAGGAGAAATAAGCAAAATATCAATCAAATAAAGAACAACTGAAGCATTTCATCGGAATAAAAAGCTTACAATGATTCAAACTCAGCCTCGTAGAGGTTTATAGTGACAATCTACTTGAAACTACTCCTATGAATGAAGTGCAGTGCAGAATTTAAAATACTGGAATGTAAAGAACAGGAAATGTAAAACTAAGTAAAGTAGAATAAGACTGGTTTTTGGATCCGAGTCTGGGAGCTTTTCTGGGGCCTTCTCTGCTACTTATACTGCTTAAGCGTCGAACTGCTGCTCCATGATCGCTGATCATGTTGCCTCAAGATTAGCTCCATTACGCCATCACTTACAGTTAGGCTTCCCTCCTAAATTTGAATTCAAATGTGAGTAACCGATGATGCCACATCACTTTGTATCTCTCTGCTGATCCACTGCTACTCAGATCTCGTAACAACCAATACTAACTGCCACGTGTACGATCAGGATCGAAGATTTGAATAGTCTTCCCGTACTACCCTTACTTTGCCACGCGTCGAATTGTAACTAGCTTGTACAAAATATGTAGCCAACAAAATGCTTCTTTTTGAGCCAATCTTACGAATTTTGGCTCCGGCAAGATGACTCTACATTTATTTCGAGCCCTTTTAAATCTAGCCAGGACCACATTTCTTTTATTTAAGG